TACTGGAGAATATAGTAGTGGTATGCTAGCTTAGTAGCATTTAGCCGGTAACAGCAGCTAGCAAGCGCCACTGGTTTCTGACACTCGGCTGAAACCATCAGCTCTGTTAAACTGGGCGTGGTTTTAATCCCAGTTCCAGGTTCCAACTTCCAAACCAAACACAAAACATGTTCAAGTGATTCCCAAAGCTACGTTAGCTTAGCCACTGTTAGCACACTAGTTAGCATCAGTAAACTGTGGACAGGTATGCTAATAAATAATAGCTTTATGGGTTATAAACTATTATAAAATACAGTATATTAACTTATCTAAATTAATTATCAATGATATCTGTTAGCTTTATTCTGCGTATTATAAAAATATTTAATTTAGCCCATTACTTCAGACAGGTGTGTTGTCATTTGATGATTTCAGGTAATTATAAATCAATAATTTAGGTAAATTATCACTTGTGTGTCCTGGTCAGTTTAGTAACAGCTACTTATAATATTAATTTAAAAATGTCAGAAATTAATGGTTAATGCCAAAATATGTAAAATATGTCCAGATTTTCTGGATCGGGCGCTTTGTGTGAGTTTCTGTGCAGAAATGTGAGGCTGTTGCTGTGAAGTGCTGCGTTCAGTGGACAGATGCTGTGTTTGTGTCGTTTGTTGAGGTATGATGAACATCATTATGAATACCTGTCTAGTCAAAGTCTGGGAAAGGCCTCTGATGACCTTGAGCAGTACGTCTTCATCTACAGGTGAGACGCAGGATTTCATTATAAACACAAAGTCGACTAACTTTTACTAACATTTCAATTAAAATATTCAATTATTTATTCCCTTCAGTTTATCGTGTCCTTCAGGTTTCCTCCTGTGCTTCCTTCACGGTTTCCTCCTGTGCTTCCTTCACGGTTTCCTCCTGTGCTTCCTTCACGGTTTCCTCCTGTGCTTCCTTCACGGTTTCCTCCTGTGCTTCCTTCACAGTTTCCTCCTGTGCTTCCTTCACGGTTTCCTCCTGTGCTTCCTTCACAGTTTCTCCTGTGCTTCCTTCACGGTTTCCTCCTGTGCTTCCTTCACGGTTTCCTCCTGTGCTTCCTTCACGGTTTCCTCCTGTCCTTCCTCCTTTTTTTGTGTCCTTCCTTCCTTCCTGTTTCTCTTGTTCGTCCTTCCTGGTTTCCTTCCTCAGTTCATTCTTCCTGATAAATAAGTGCGAGTCCTAGTTCCCTCTCTGACTCGTGAATCTATGATTTGACCCTTGACCCTCTGATTAGGACACACCTGGTGAAACGGTTGGATCAGCACCAGTACGAAGGTAAAGCCTTCGTCCGGCCGCCGTTTGCCGTCCATTTCAGCTGCAATAAAACTGGTCAGTAGATTGTTAAAAGAACTAAAACGGTTCTTATTTTCCTTCTCTGATTCGTTTGAACGTCTTTTCTTCCAGACATCAAGAAGTTCGTTTTGGTTCCGCTCCACACCGACCCGGATCACGCCGTCCAGGAGATTGACTGGCTCTACGACGTCTTTGAGGAAGTCAGCGCAAAGTGGAACAACACGGTGAGGCAGCAGCAACTTCACGGTTCTGAGGTCAAAGGTCAGATAAACGAAGCTGGAAACTTCTAGAAATGATGATCCTGGGAAAATGTTGGGATGTTCAGATGAGGAAGTGTTTAGGATGGATGGATGGTCAGTTGGTTCTGGTTATTCCTGTTTCTGGTCGGTTGGTTCTGGTTTCCCAGTGCATTGTGGGCGTTGTTTCCTGCCTGGACAGTTGGACCGGAGTTTCTTGACGTGGTTTGACTCCCTGTGTTTCAGAACGTGATGTTCCTGGGAGATTTCCATGCCGGCTGCGCCTACGTCACCCGGGACGACAAGAAGAACATCCGACTCTTCACCAACTCCAACTTCTCCTGGCTGATCGGAGACCGAGAGGACACCACCGTCACCGACCTGACCAACTGCCCTACGACAGGTTTGTGTTCGAGAGAGAAACCAAACGGCTGCAGGTGTTCTCCAGACTCACTGAGGAGTCCATGCCTCTCCTCTCTGTGTCTCAGGATCGTGGTTCATGGTCAGTCCTTCCTGCAGGGCATCAGGCCGGACTCTGCAAATGTTTTCAACTTCGGCAAAGAATTCAGACTCCGGCAGGCCAAGGTAGGACGCGGCTCCAGCTGAAGGAACCGGAACATGTTTGTACTTCTTGAGGATTGATCTGTTTTGATGCTTTAGGTCAGATCACCCTCAGCTGGACTTACTGATGAAGCCTCTTCTCCACCCTGGATTTTAATGAGAGGCACCAGAGAGACATCAACATTTTGAACAAATCCTTCATTTTCCTTCCACTTCACATTTATGCACCACTTTGTTTCCACCAGATAAAATCCCAATAAAAATCCTCCATCTTTGTGGTTGGATTATAAAGTTTTTATATGGAAGCAAAACACACTACAAACACATAAATGATGTAAACTCTTAAAAACATAAAAAATGCTGCAAATTATAAAAACAGCATATAAAAACACTGCAAGTTGACGGCCCAAAACAGCAGTCCTCCAGGCCACCAGGGGGAGTCTGGAGTTTGTAACGTTACCTACATAAATATGCTGCTGTCAGTAAAGACTGCAGTGGTGAGAACGGCCCAGTCAAAGTCACATCAGAGTTCAGGGTTCAGAGTTCAGAGTTCAGGCACAGAACGGCCCTGGGTCGTAACTTCACATCCAAAATGGAAGACTGGTCACTGTTTATTCATCCTAAAAGACTTTTAGGATGGTCAGTAGATAAAAAGACCAAACTACAACCAAACAGATCATTTTAAATGTTCAATGTGTTCAAATATCTGCAGTATTTCTGCTGGAGATATTTGTTTTGTTATGACTTGTTGAATTCAATATTATCACCATTTATTTTATGCAGATAAAACTTAGTTTGGTATAAAGTGGAGATAATAACAAAGATCAAGTTCAGGACAAACATACGGCTTATAGAAAACGTAAAATAAATATCTGGTGCTACACGTGAATAATAAAAAGTCTAATGGAACTAAAATCTCCTTTTTAGACAAAAGTTGTGACTTTATGAGCCAAAATTTTAACAATAAATTCATCAGTTTCTTCCTCTAGTCCTATAAGAAACCATTTGTTTAGAAATCATGATAATAAACCGAGCAGCTTTCTATTCCACTCCCACAAAAGATAGCAGGAAGGAGGTAGAGCACTGGGACCGGGCCAAAGACCTTTTCTTTCTTCCTCCATCTTTCCCATGTGATTTGATGGCCGGCGCCCCCTGGTGGCCAGGAGGACAAATGGTCTGTGGTGCGAGTTTATTCACAGCTTTTTCCCTTTTGCTTCCATTTTCTGTAGCTGCAGAGTTTTTCTGTTGCAGTTGTTTGTTTGTTTTGTGCATTTTTCATCATTCATCTGTTTGCCTTGTATCCGTCTCACAGTTTCTGGTTTCTGTTGCTTCTGTCTGCCAGGTGCTGCTACTGAGCGAACACTATCCAATCGAGGTGAGATTAAAAGGCTCCGCCCCCCTCCTGCAGGCCGCGCCCCTGCTGGTCCTGTTCAGCGCCATCATCCGGTTCTTCCTTCCTGCTCTGTGATCGTCTGATCCAGTCTAGGTGGCCATCCTGTTAGATTTTATGAAGCAGTTTTGAACAAGTACATTTAGGAGATTTTACTCAAAATGTAAAGTCTTTAAGAGCCAGAAGCGACGTTCTTCCTAACGTCGGGTTTGTGTCTTCTGCTGGAGATTCAGATTTTTAACAAAGAAAAGCAAACTGAAGTTTAAATGATAGGAGATTAGCTATAATCTGTAAACTCAGATCTAATCCTTGTTTACCTCTGAGTTGACCTGCTGACACTGAAAGACAGGAAATGTCTCCAGACTGGAGGAATTAAAGTTTTTACCTTTAACTTCAGAATAAGTGTTTTTAATAAACCAGATTTAGGGGTTTGTTTTGTTTTTTAACATCTTATATATATATATATATATATGTATATATATATATATATATATATATATATATGTATATATATATATATATATATATATATATATATATATAATTTTTTTTCCAGCATAGGTGATTTTCTGATTGTACACAGAAACTGTTGTAAATGAAATGTCAGAAACTCTTCGAACATAAATAAAATGTTTAGATTTTTAAAACTCTGTGAAACTGAACCTTAAATCTGCTGTTAATGTTGTATTTTTATAACACGTCACAGTGAGAACCACAGCTGTTCCACCTTCCCTCTTTACACCTTGAGTCAGGTGAAATAAAAGATGCATAAAATTTAGTTTTAACGTACATTAACTAAACTTCAAGCAACTGACTATAGGTCAACAATCTGGGTCAAACAGAACGGAAACTGTTGGGAAAACACAAAACTTGGTAAATGGACAGATAAAATATGAACAATCATCAATAAATCTTCCATCTACTGCTCTTCTTACTTTGTTATTCATTCTGAAATTAAATTAACATGGACAAATGGACCTTCAGAACCGTACTGAGAATCCTTTAGGATCTTATGAGGAACATGACATTTAGCCAAACTCTGGAAACAAAGCATAGTGAGACCTTGTCGCTTCATCTCTTTGTGTATTAGAAAATGTTGGTTATTAAAATTAGGGGTAGAATAAACCATCCACTTCTTCTGCTGCCTCAGAAAAAGCATCAGAGTGAGCTCTCTGTTTCCAAGACCATCTATGTTAGAGGGATATATTAATTATTTAATGTAATACCGGGAGAGTCAGAAAGTAAAAGTTTTAACATTTTTAGTTTGTTTAGATAATCAATAACATTTTAAAACTGATCATATATGTGGATTAAATAATAGATCATTTGAGTCACACTCCACCCCAGAAGGTTGACGTTAAACGGTAACAAAGAAAATCAAAAAGAGCCCCGCAGTGAACGGCTCAGAAAACACATCAGAGTGAGCCCTCTCCTCAGTTCCGCTCCTCTCTGGGGTCTGCTTTAGGAAACGTGGCCTTAGAGACGCAGGAAACGCATCAGAGTGAGACCTCTGCTGCCCTCCGCCCCTCTCTGCTTTAGGAAACGTGGCCTTACCGAGCTCCAGCCGCTCCGGTAGATGAATGAGCCTCCCGCACCGCCAGTTCCCGCTTGTCTCTGCCCGTCAGTTCCCGCCGCAGCCTCAGCAGCCCCCCTGTAGAACCTCCACCCGGAACCTCCACCCGGAACCGCCATGGCAGAGGCAGAACCCGTCCCCGCGGCCGTCCCGAACGCCACGGACTCCAACGAGACCGAGGTGCTGAACGCCACGGCTAAATTCGTGGCCACCCCGGAGGGAACGGCGCTGGCCTACGGCAGCCTGGTGGTCATGGCCCTGCTGCCCATCTTCTTCGGAGCCCTGCGGTCCGTCACCTGCTCCAAGTCCAAGGTAAGCAGCGGTTCGAACCGGTCCGAACCGGGCCACCGTGGGGTAGAACCGCTAGCTTCCGCCGGTTAGCATCCCCTGCTAACTGCGCTCTGGCTGATTATTAGCTTCTTTAGCGGCTCAGAAATCATCATGAAAATGATCGACCGGATTCCGTTACAGCAGGTGTCCAGTCCAGGTGTTCAGTCCAGGTGTTCAGTCCAGTTGTCCAATCCAGGTGTCCAGTCCAGGTGTCCAGTCCAGGTGTCCAGTCCAGGTGTCCAGTCCAGGTGTTCAGTCCAGGTGTTCCTCTGAGGGTTGACTCAGCAGAACCTTGGTCCAGATCTTGACCCATGCTGACCCTTTGCTGTCAACCCCGTTCATCAGGACTGGGTGGTGGTGGCAGCATCATGATGTGGGGGGTTGTTTAATGGCCTCCAGCTGGACAGTTTCTCACCTGGTGGGCCTCACCTGGATCAGAACTAGAGTTGGTTCTGAAACTGTAGTGAGTTTATAACATGAGTTATTAAATATGGTGAAAGTTGTGAAGTGGTTGGAGGAGGCCTTAAGAAGAACCAGAACTTCCTGGAGGAACTGAAGATCCAGTTCCATCTGGAAACATCTAAAGGTGCTTCAGGAACCTGGAGATGGATGGACGGGTTTCCTCCTGACCTCTGACCTCTATGATGGAGAAGTGGAGAAGTCCAAGATGGATGGCTGGATGGATGAGTAAATGGTTGAATGCGTAGGTAGGATGGTTGAAAGTGTGGACAGTTGGATGGTTGGTTGGTTGGATGGATGGATGGTTGGATGCTCATCTATTGTTTATAAACCAACTGAAGCTCCTCCCTCTGTGTTTCCTCGAATCTGATTGGTTCCCAGCTTCCAGGCAGCTGATTGGACCGCCTGTGCTGCTGGTGTCACGTGACTTCCTTCCTGCTCCTTAATGTTCATCACCTGTTTCTCGAGCTGATCTTCCAGGCTTCTGTCAGTCTGCAACTTGACCTCTGACCTCTCTCTCTGTCTGTCTGTCCGCCATCTTGTCTCTGCGTCCATCTGTAGGAGCTCGGAGACGGTGGGTACGACTCTGGGTTCAGAGTGAGTATCAGAACCGAACCTCTTTGTTGTTGCGGCACAAACACAACATGAACCTGGACTGGTCAGAACCACAACCTAGTTCTGGTTCAGACCCAGTTCTAGTTCTGGTCGTGGTTCCAATTATGGATCAGAACCAGAGCTGGGACACCGCCCATATCTGGGTCAGAACCAAGACCAGTAGGACAGACTGGTGTCCCTGTTCTGACCTGTCAGAACCAAACGGCTGATTTATCTCTCCAGGATGTGGTCAGGTTCTGGTGGTTCCGGTGGTTCTGGTCCGCTGGGTCCAGGTTGGACCAGGGAAGCTTGTAGAAGCTGCAGTTTAAACACCAGAACCACATCATTGGTCGTCTCTGTGGAACTGGACTGGGTTCTGATGAGGCCGCTCTGGTTCTGGTGGATTGGACCAGGTTCTGAAGGTTCTGGAACCCGTTCCGTCTTCATGCTGGATCAGGGATGAGATGAGCCGCTGGTTCTGGAGCAAGTCTGACAGAACCGGAACCGCTCCATTCAGCAGGAGCTTCCAACATGGCTGCCAACGGCGTAAACAGGAAGTGTCCTTCAAAATAAAAGCAAATATTAAATGAGGAAGCAGCAGAAGAGTCGCTTTATGCGAAGCGACTTCCTGAGACGCCTGGCAGCCATGTTGGATTCTTCCTGCGTCTCGTATCAGGTGGTTCCGGTCCAGTGGTTGGCCAGGTTCTAGATGTTCCATCATCGTCCTCTCTGGTCTGCATGTGGATCAGTACCGCCATGGATCCAAACCGGTTCTGTTTGAAGCTAACGGCCCACTGTGGTGGTTCTGTTGTGTTCTAACTCTGACTGATGTGTTCTGCTGTGGGTTCTGGACTTAAGCCTGCCTGATTCTGTTTGTCCTGAACTCCCCGACCGGCGGGGCCTGACCATCTAACCGGGTTTTTCAGAACCAACCGTTCTTTGCCTTCGGATCCACAGCGGGTTCTGAGACCGGCTGAGAGCAGATGGTTCTGATGAATCCCTCCTCCCGCTCGTCTGACCCAGTTTGCGTCTCCAGGGCGGGTCGGAGCAGAATATAGACGATTCCGAACTCCAATCCTCTCTGAGGTCAAAGGTCACCCAGGAGCCAGAACTCCACATCCGTCTGCAGGTTCTGGATTCATGTCCGTGTTCTTACGGTGCTGAAGGTCCAGATCCGGCTGAAGGTCCAGATCCGGCTGAAGGACTCCAGTCCAGCAGCTGCTGGGTTCTGATCTGGTTCTGATCCGGTTCTGCTCAGACCATCATCCTGTCCCCTTCCTCCCAGAACTCTGCCGACGCCCGGAGACCATCACCAGCCGGGACGCGGCCCGGTTCCCCATCATCGCCAGCTGCACGCTGTTCGGACTCTACCTCTTCTTCAAGGTGAGTTCGGACCTCTCGGTTCTGCTCGGCTGCCGGGTCGGCCGGTTCTCACTGAGCGCGCTCCGTCCTGCAGGTGTTCTCCCAGGAATACATCAACCTGCTGCTGTCCGTCTACTTCTTCGTCCTTGGCGTCCTGGCTCTGTCCCACACCATGAGGTACCATCAGAACCGGAACCGGGTCCACCAGCGCTGCTGCCTCCCAGTCTAATCCCGTCTCTGTCTTCCAGTCCTGCCATGTCCAGAATCTTCCCAGAGTCGCTCCCCAACAAGCAGTACCAGCTGCTGTTCACGCAGGGTTCTGGAGAGTCCAAAGAAGGTGAGTCCATCGGGTCGATCACCGGACGGAGGCGAGTCGATGGCGGTCCAGAACCGCCAGTCACTCGCCTGGTTCCTGTGGCCTGAACACCTGCAGACCGTTTGATAAAGTTTCATCTGCACGAAGTTGATCAATTAGATATTTACAGTTTGACGGTGAAACAAGTTTCTGTTCAACGTGTTTCTGATCCGCCGGTTCAGTTTCAGGCAGCTGCTGGATTTTCTGTTTTAGTTTTAAATCAACGTTCTTCCAGCTGAATGCGACAGATTCTCTTTCTGCCTCCAGAAATAGTGAATTACGAGTTTGACACCAAGAACCTGGTGTGCCTGCTGATCAGCAGCGTGGTCGGGCTTTGGTACCTGCTCAAAAGGTAAACCCACCTCCCTCTGTTGGCCTGCTGGCCGCCGCTCACAGCCAATCACTGCGCTTGTTTCTGTGACATCACAGCACTGGATAGCCAATAACGTGTTTGGCCTGGCGTTCGCCCTGAACGGGGTGGAGCTGCTGCACCTGAACAACGTCAGTACCGGCTGCATCCTGCTGGGGGGGCTTTTCATCTACGACGTCTTCTGGGTGAGAATCCTGCTTCAACGGAAAAGGAAGTTAGGTTTTACAGTGGTGTGTGCTTTTCAAAATAAAAGTACCCAAGTTTATTTATTTTGAGTTGAAGAAATAATTTTTGCATTGACAAGATTCAACTTTTTAACTGTTAATAATTCAATAAGACAGACTGAAGATTAATGTTATGCTGTTCAAAGAAGCAGCTTCACTCTATTGGTCTCTGTTTTACTGAAGGTCAGTGAACGCACCACAGGAGGAAAGACACTTCAAACCAGGAAGACATTTAGAGAAATTCAATAATTTTTTAAATAGGATGTCAAAAAATACAGAGGAAATATGTTTATTGTACTTTATTTACATGATAATTGCAAATAAAATTATATTAATTACAAAAATTATTACAAAATAGTTTTAAAAATGTAAAATTCAGAATAAAAATAAATTGTTAATACAATAAACACAATATTTAGTAAATGTAATTAATACTTGCCCTAATAAATAGTGCTGCAATTACAATTATATTAACTTATGTAATAAATTTAAAATATTAAATCTTAGTGTAAAATAATGAATAAAAATATGATCAAGGAAAATTACAAAACACACAATAGAAATAGATTAAAAAACTTTATTAATAATCCCAATTACTTCCTTCACATTCCTCAGACATTTCAATCTGCTGCAGCTTTTATTTACCCTAGAGTGACCTCTGACCTCCTGACAGTTGGACGGAACGTTTCCTCACCTGTCTGATCTGACCTGCAGGTGTTCGGGACCAACGTCATGGTAACGGTGGCCAAGTCGTTCGAGGCACCAATTAAATGTGAGTCGACTTTTCAGGGCACTTCCTGTTTCCTGCTTCCTGTTGATCTGGTTCTGATCCGGTTCTGACCCGAGTCTCCGTCTCCCAGTGGTGTTTCCTCAGGACTTACTGGAGAAAGGACTGGAGGCCAGTAACTTCGCCATGCTGGGACTGGGAGACATCGTCATCCCGGGCATCTTCATCGCCCTGCTGCTGCGCTTCGACGTCAGGTAGCGTCCGGCGGCGGAGGCGCCCGCTCTCCCCGACCCGCCCACCGGTCCGGACCCGTCCTCATGTCCTCATGTCTTCGTCTGTCTGTCTGCAGCCTGAAGAAGAACAGCAGGACGTACTTCTACTCCAGCTTCCTGGCCTACATCTTCGGTCTGGGCCTCACCATCTTCGTCATGCACACCTTCAAACACGCACAGGTAGGAGGCGGGGCCAGACGTCCGGGAAGTTTTATCACAACCATGGAATGGGACCGGGTTCGGTGGAACCGGGTTCGGTGGAACCGGGTTCGGTGGAACCGGGTTTCTGACGCTCTCTCTCGCTGCAGCCCGCCCTGCTCTACCTCGTCCCCGCCTGCGTCGGTTTCCCCGTGGTCGTGGCGCTCTGCAAGGGAGAGCTCACCGAGATGTTCAGGTGAGTAACCATGGCGACCGCCAGGTACTAACGGTTGATCTTCTGATGAGAAAAATAAACCTGGATCAATCTGTCCATATGGAAGGTCAAAGGTCATTTTAAAAAGTAAATATTCGTAATAATCAACAATAAAAATGAACTGAAATAGAAAAATGAAATCCAGAAAGACTTCGAGAGCTTCATGACCGTCTCTATGGACCATCCGTCCACCCGGTCCGTCCATCCAGTCCATCCACCCGGTCCGTCCATCCACCCGGTCCGTCCATCCACCCGGTCTGTCCATCCACCCGGTCCGTCCATCCACCCGGTCCGTCCATCCAGTCCATCCACCCGGTCCGTCCATCCGGTCCATCCATTCGGTCCATCCACCCGGTCCATCCATTCGGTCCATCCACCCAGTCCGTCCATCCAGTCCGTCCATCCGGTCCAGCCTGGTCTCTGGTTCTTCTGATCCTAAACCCTGCAGATGAAACTCAGCGGTTCTGGTTCTGTTGCTCAAACCGTCACATCTGGGTCTGAGGCGGACCGACAGTTCTGTCATGTCTGGTCTGATGGAGCGCCTCCTATTGGACCGTCTGGATGTTTTCTGGGTTCTGATTGGACAATGAGGCTGATGTTTTGGGTCGGAACCGGCGAGCAGAAGATCCAGCCGCCATCTTTCCTTCTCATTCCCGTTTGCTCTTCCTCACCTCATCATCCTCACTCTGATTAATTTGCAGTTTGAGATAAAAATCTTACATTCTTCTTCTCTTTTGTTCCTCATCCTCACCTCTTCATCTCATCCTCCCCGTCGCCATAGCTACGAGTCACCAGAGGAAGTCCTTCCTGCCTCTCCGCGCATCACTTCCTTCCCGACTGTCAGCGGCTCTCCTGCAAGCCTGGCTGCATCCATGGAAACCTCCCCCCGACACCGCCGTGTTCTTCCCACCTCCATGTAGGAGTTAAGCCCCGCCCCCTGCCCTTACTGCCTCACCTCTCTGACGCCTGGGCAGGTAGAACGCCCGCCTGTCCGTCAGTCCTCCAGGACCAAAACGGACCCGCTTTATTCAGACTGGATCAGAAGTCCAAACGTTCTGTTTAAAAATGGAGAGTTTTGGATCCTAAACCAGAGCCAACAGAAAGTTTTTGGTGTTTAGCCAAAGCTCAAACGCGTTAATACCAACTCTGATACGTGTGCTATATCGCCCTCATCAGGATCAAATCAGTCACTGCACATCTTCCTGCGTGGTTTCCGCTTCATCAGAACAAACCTTTCACTCAGTTTCAGTTTCACTAATTCAATCAAATTATCGTTCAGTCAGAAAGTTTAAACTGTTTACTGTAGAACTACAGCAATGCATTCTGGGTACAGAGTAAATAATCTGCACTGCATCACACTGCTGTGTAAACAAACTTCAAATAAAAGCATGAATATAAACAATTAACTAAAGTTTCAACAGACGACAAACTTTATTCAACTTAGTTTACAAAACAACCAATTAACGCTAAGCTAAGTGCGCTAAACACTTTCAAAGCTAGCTAAACTGCTAAAGCATCAAGGTAAAACTTAGCTCTGCCATTAGTTAGCCCTCCGTTAAATCAAAAAGGGAGGGGTGACTTATGAATATTTAATGAAATGTTGCAGACAGTTTTTCTGAAGCTTTATGAACGGCGTCGGTTAAATCTTACAGCATGGCGTGAATCAGACTTTACTGCTCTCTGATGGTTCAACATCAGAGAGCAGTAACGGTCACATGACGTCACACAGTAAAATCAAACATGGCTCCCTCTCTGCAGGTACGAGGAGTCGTCTGAGGAGGCGGAGCCTAAAGAGGAGTCATCAGAACCTGAGAAGAAAAAGGACCAATAGCATTTGTCACTGCCACCCTCCCACCCTGTTACATTTCACTGAAGCCCCGCCCCTTTGGGAAGGGCGGGGCTTATATTGCCAACGTGTTTATGTCCGGTCTCCATGGTTACAGCTTCTATGGTACCGTGAGGGGTGGAGCTTTGTTTCTGCTCGGTGCCTGACTCCTCCTCCTCGCCACAGCTGCAGTCATAGGAGCACAGAGCTGCTGAGGGGCGGGGCCAGGCGAGTGGGCGGGGCTTGTGTGTCCGGACCAGGAAGCCGTTAAGCCTAAGCTTCCTCAGCGCGTCTCTGCTTCCTGCTTCTGTCCGCTCACCTTTACCTGCTTCAGTTTCACTTTGTTCCTGTAAAAACGTCAGTTTTAATGTTTCTGAATGTTTACAGCTTTCCCCCCAAACATCTGGACAAATCCAGGAGTTTCCTGTCAGAGCTGAGTCATGACATCAATTCAAACTTTTTATTTCTGTATCACCAGTTCAGCATAAAACGGCAGTGACTCTGTCTGTCTGAGCTCCGACGTTTATTAGATTTTAAGGGTCAGTTTTAACATTTTGAGTTATTCTTTTTCTTCCTTTTGAACTTTGTTTTTTCAGACAGGAAGAAAAATGCAGAAAATCAGCAGATTGTTGAGATGAGGAATGAGAATGAATTGTATTTGGAAGGTTAAGGGATCAAAGTTGCTCCTGGATCTGATCTGCAGCCGCTGGAAGCAGCGAACCCCTTCATTCTGAAATCTGATTGGTTGTCAGGCAGGAGGAGGAGTCAGGTTGGCCAATCTGGGATTTCAGCCTCATTCTGATTGGTTCACAGGAGAAAATGAGAATATTTACTGATGGAGTTTTCTGTCATATCTTAAAAGAGTTGAATAAATGTAAACAATAAAGGAGAGCTATAGTTTTGTACGATGCGTAGAAATGAGTCCAGAGGCTCTTAAACTGCTGGACTTCCCAGAACTACATTTCCCATCATGCCCAGGCTTTGACATGTAAATCAGGTGATGTGGAAAAGTCTAGAAATGCTTCATTTGACCCTCTGAGCTGCAGATTCTCAGTCTTCGCGTAATATTTCTGTTGTGACTGATGGTCGACGCTTTATTATTGTTTTGTATTTTGATGTGAATCCGATCGGTTCTGAAGTCCCACTGTATCCGGCTCCGTGGAGTTCAGTAGCCTTCACAGAGTTCAACTCTGAGATGTTTATTCTTTTTTTCTTCTTTTTTTGTATCTGTGAGCGCCGTCGCTTCTTGGCCCAAACTGTCTGTTGGATTTGCAATAAACCTTCTGGTGGTTTGGTTACCGTCTGGAGAAGTATAACTCCGTGACTGCATTAAAATCTCAACGCTTCCACTGTAGATGCTACGGTTCTTCCAAACAGGCTCCAGGTGACCTTTGACCCTGCTGACCGAGGTAGGAAAGGGAAATTAGAATTGATCCAAAACTAAAAAAAAAAAAAATTGCAATTTTCAAATTCTATTTCAATCTTGGATCACTTTTTTAAAAATGTTTATTTAGCCAAGTTTAAAAACTCAAAAGCTAATTGGATGCAACAAAGACGGTTTTTCAGAAAAAGTTTCTGCTTCTCATAAAAAGATGAAAACTTTGTGTTGGACTTTATGATAGTAATTCTGCCCTGATATATAAAATGAACTGCCTGTGATGGAGGGTCACATTTCTATCTTAGGTTTTAGTGGCAGTTGGAGGGCTACACAAAATCAGCCCAAGGGACTCAAATGGCCCCCGTGCGCACTTTGGACACCCCTGGTCCAGGTGTTGTTACCTAGGTAACACAAAAACAGGTTTTAACAGATAAACAATGTTCTGACTTTCCTAAAGGGTCATTTAAAAAAAACTATTCAAATAAAATATCTTTAATTACAATTGAAGATCTGTAGATGCATATTTATGACTAGTCAGAATGACATGTTTGGATATCTGAATGGTTTTGTGCAAAGTGTCAGCAGGTTGTTGATGCTTTAAAAAGCCTTGCTGCTAAAAGTGTTGCAGTTAATAGAAGCTGAAAATGGAGCATTTTCAAACAATAATTTTCTTGTTCCAGTAATTAATAATTATCCAATAAATAATTATTCACCACATCAGCAACGAATGAATAGAAAATCCGTCATGATTAAAAAAAAGTTTAAAGTTGCTCAAATTCGCTTTTATTTTGATTATCAGCCCCGTACTGTGCGCCTACTTCCGGTTCCGGTCTGATTCTAGCGGTTGAAACGTTTCGGTTTTACTCGGATCTTACCCGGTTTTAAAGATGGGGGAGGCCGACGTGACCCTCAGTCAGACCGAGGAGAAGCCTCCGACGCGGCTCTGGTTCCCGGGGAGGACTCGGTGGTCTGGAGCCACGAGGTGGAGGTCTGTCTTTTCCACGCGATGATCGGACACAACCAGTGGGTAAGGCTGCTAACGCTAGCTCTGCTGCTAACGGCTCCCACTGGAACCCAGTGCGAGAGCGGCTGGACCCGGACATGAGACGGACCCAGACCAATTCAGCCCACATCCGAGACATACTGGGACCAGTCTGAGCAGAAACTGGGCCGGTCTGATCCCAGTTTGTCGCTGGTTGCTTCCGCATCTGGAGGAAAAAATCTGGAAGCTTTTTGCTTTTTGCATTTCTGAATTAATATATAAACATAAGTTTGAGAAGGAAAATATTTCAAGAATTTATTCCAAACAAATAATAATATGGCATCCATCCAATGGATGTTCGGTTCTGTGATTCTGTTGGTTCTGATGGGTCGGTTCTGTTTGCAGGAGTGAACCGACACTTCCACATGATCTGCATCCGGGATAAATTCAGCCAGAACATCGGGAGGCAGGTTTCTTCCTCTGTTATCTGGGACCATCTGGGGACCATGTATGACATGCAGGCTCTGGTACGCACACACACCAATACACACAGTAACACACTCACACCAATACACACACACACACAGTAACACACACACCAATACACACACACAGTAACACACACACACACACACACAGTTAACACACACACAGTAAACACACACACACACACAGTAACACACACACAGTAACACACACAAGTAACACACACACAGTAACACACACACAGTAACACACACACACACAGAGTAATACACACTCTCGCTGGGTTTTCCTCTGAACCAACCGGTTCTGTGTGACGAGCAGCACGAGTCGGAGATCCTGCCGTTTCCGAACACGGAGAAGAGTTTCTCGCTGCCGGAGGAGATCATCCAGGAGGTGAAAGGAGGTGAGGTCCTTCCTCTCGTCTCCTGAGGAGTCTTCCTCAGCAGTGTGACACTCCGGTTGTGATGAACGATGATCTCTATGTGTTTGCAGGGAAGCTGGGCTCAGAGGAGGAGATCAAGGAGGAGTTCAGGATGGAGAGAGAACCTCCTGCTACACATGAAGAAGGTCAAGCTCTCCTGCTTTTGTTCCCATGTGCTGTATCAGACGTCTGTAGACTGCAGTGACTGGCGAGTCGTATGACTGCAGATGAAATGCTGCAACTGCAGCCGAAATGACTAAAGACAGACAGAACGCCAAGGACAAAACGCAATACCTACAGAAGAAACGTTGCAACCACAGTAGATGGAAGCAAAGGAGAAATGCTGCAAAAGGGCAAAGCAAGTGTAAAATACTGTACAGTATGAAACAGAAGTCCTCCAGACCACTAGGGGGAGCCTGGAGCAGGAAATGTTACCAACATAAACATGCTGCTATTCTGTAATGTAAAAGGTTAAAAATTACGCAAAGTATAAGGCTTTTCTTTCTCCCTCCAAGGTTCTTTGGGCGTCTTGTCTGAGAGTACTCTCACATGACTTGTTGTTCGACTCCCTAGTGGCCTGGAGGATTTCTGGTTCATCTGTAGTTGCAGCGTTTTCCTGATGCATTTTTTTCTCTGAATCAGGAATATTTTAGTGATGATCCTTAACCAGATCGTTCTGTCAGAGCAGGTTATCAGTAGTGGGGGACAGGTAGGACAGGAAGTGCTACAGGACATATGGACGTCTCTGCAGATCATCCTTCTCTATGCTAACTCGGTTTCCCAATTTCTCCCACAGGAAGTAACTCATCTGTGAAGATGTCGGAGCGAATGAGCAGCAGTCGGGAAAAAGAGAAGGAGCGCGACAAGGAGAAGGGCGGAGGAGAAGGAGGAGCATCAGCAGCAGGAGGAGCGAAGGAGGCGGAGAAGAGGAAGAGGAGCCGAGCCACAGAGAAACTGCTGTCGTCTTCCAACCCGGCGAGTCCGGGAGGCGCCAAGAGGAGGCGCACCTGAGAGCTGGACTCTGATTGGCTGCCTTACGCTGACCTCTCCTCTCAGCAGGAAGTGACACGTTTGGACCCCCAGTTCATTTTTTGTAGCTTTTTGTTTTCCATGTTCATTTTTCCCATGATGCCGAGCAGAACTCTGGACCGAACGCGGCTCTGCTGGAAGAACCGCTGCAGTTCTGCTGCAGTTCTGCTCCAGACTCCGGTCGGCCCGGTTCTGGAGAACTCAGCCGCTCCATCCTCCAGGCTGCTGGGATCGCTGTTGAGTCGGACCTTTGGGAATGTTTCTCCTTCTGAAATCTGCTGCAAACAAGCAGAAAAACACATTTATGATTCTTTATTCTTTCATATTTTTAGCTGATGTTTAGTTTCAGTTTCATGCAACATGGATATTTTTTAAATGTTTTTGGTTTTTATTTTTATTGAAATATTTATTTATGATGACACGACTGTTGGTGACATTAAAGATGAACTCCTCAGTGTTGTGGCACTTTTTTTTTTTTGCTTGTTTGATACCAGATATCTCGGGTCAAAGATTTCCTGCAGCAGTCGGACCAAACAGAACAGAAAACATCTTTAATGTCCCACAGCAACGTGTATTCATGTTCCTTCCTTCCTTCCTTGTTTCCTTCCTTCCTTCCTTCCTTCCTTCCTTCCTTCCTTCCTTCATTCCTTCCTTCTTTCCTTCCTTCTTTCCTTCCTTCCTTCCTCACCATAACTATTTGAAGACTTACAATATTTAAATTCCCATTGGGATTAAAAAAGTGGTTTTGAATTAAAACTAAATTTGAAAGGAACCAGTGAGAATAGTAATTCAACTTTAGTGAAGTTTCACAAATCATGTAGATTTGGAGTTAGAGCAGATCTATGACCAAGATTTTAAAAAGTGGTCAAATCAACATTTATGGAAGTTTCATCAATCAAATAAAAGTTTCATAAATCCCAAACATGGTTCTAAATATTCTGCTATTAGAGCAGAATAATCCAGTCCAGGTTTGAAGAGTTCAGGTGTTTTAGGCTTTAAACTGGAGTCGATTAAAGATGCGGAAAGTCGTGTAAAATTAGGTGGAATCGCCCTTTAGCCGTTTCCCGTACCGGAACCACCTTCAGCTCCGCTTCCGCTCTCTTGTTAATAAACGCGGCGCCGTCATCTTGAAACGGCTGAAGGCGGGAGTGTTCCGGAGTGACCCGAAGAGACCCAGTGAGTTCACTCAGAATGTTTTCTGCCTGTAACTTACTGCCAGCTCTCCTTCTGGACCAGACTGGGTCGGTTCTGAAGGACAAATTACTTCCTGATTGCTGCCGTTGGAAAAGATTACGCTAGCATTAGCATCAGCATTAGCGATGTTAAAGTTGGTAAAAATTCTGAAAAGTATTTAGAAAGCTATTAGTGTGTGTGATTACATTTCAGAAACAGGAATTACAGAAACTCATCATGCCGGAATAATAATAATAATAATAATAATAATAATAATAATAATAATAATAATAATAATAATCCTAATTTATGCAGAAATGCGCGAATCATGTTTTAGCTGTGAATGTTCTGGAACCTCTGACCTGGACACTCTTGCAAAATATATATTTAGTATTTTCGTGAAGTAAAGGTTAAATAACATAAATATATAAACAAATTAATTTGATGAATCTTAGTATCTCATGAATCTCAGTAGTATTTTTTTCCCAGCATGCTTTGGGAAACACAGGAAGTCTTACGTTTTTATATGTGAATTTCTTAAATCGCCTTAAGATTGAAATTTCTTTTTCTTCTTTTTTTGGGCTTTTATATTCATTTTTGTAACGTTTTTAACCCCCTCCTCACATTTGCTGGCGTCGAAAGATGGGATCAGATTTTGCAGGAGTTCTTGTGTAAACATGTAAATTTCTATAATTTTAAAAAACGTTTTATTTCTGGATGTGTATTGGATTTAATCTTGAACATGAGTGCTTCTAGATTGTTGGTTGACTATTTATAATAAACTGTTTATGATACTGTTTATGTCCTGCACTAGAAAAATCATTAGACTTCATCACTTTCACGTGTTCTAGTGGAAACGGCCACAAGAGGGCGCTGCAGTCACTGGAAGGGAGGGTGGCCGGATGAGCAGCAAGTTTTAACAGTTTCAGTCTGGATCTGATGGAAACAACATTTAAAGTTTGGAAGAAAACCAACTAGAGTGTAAGGGATGAGATGAGCTGAAGAGACGGATGTGAAGGAGGAGATGAATGTCAGAGTAAAACACAACGGAGGAGTGTGAGAACGAGTGCTGCATGAATATTCATCAAGAGCTGAGATTTCCCAGCAGAGAGTGAGTGTGTGTGTGTGTGTGTGTGTGTGTGTGTGTGTGTGTGTGTGTGTTTTCACATCCCAGACATGTTTATTCATAAATCATCTCATGTTTATTCATGCAGGATTATGTAAACAAGTGGGTGGATTCAGACACACAGGACCTGCTGGTCAGTGGGGACGACAGCTTCCTGCCAAACGAGCCGCCATTAAAACCTAAACACAGGACTTTATTCTGCTTTCATGGAGACATAAACCAAACATAAACAGGCCTGTCATACCAACAGACTGGTGCACAATAAACTCTCTGTAATTACTGCGATGAACTATATTATTGTTTTCAGATCATTTTGAAATAAGGACTAATAAACTTTAATTTAGTAAACAGCATTAAGCAGTGGAACTGGAAGATATTTTAGATATCCAAAATAAATAAGACAAAAACATTTCCAACCGAATACCCATAAAAAAATGGATTATGAAGTATGTAAAGAAATATTAATGTAAATGATCAATCTAAATTCATCATGTGATCAATTGATTAGTTGCTTATTGTGACAGGAGTAAACATAAAGACACTGAAGTAGATCTGCACAATAAGGCTCAGAAAGTGTATCACAGTAAGAGTTTCATATCATTCGATATTGATAATTATTGATTGTTTTAAATATCTGAAATGTTGCCACATTGGTGGCGTGACGTTTCCTGTTTTGTCCAGTTTTCACTCCATGTTGGTTTTTATTTTTTTGAGGCACAGAGGAGAAACTTTAAACTGCTGCTGCGCACATTACCCAGCTGGTTGTTGCTAGGCAACCAAAGAGCAAGTGAGCTAGTTGAGCTAGCTTAGCCTTGAGCGGATGAGGGGCTAATGCCTTTTCCTCTGCCTACATCTCCCAGAATGCTGTTTGGTTCTGTAAATCGGTGAATATTCTATAAAACAGAATATTAATATTCTGTCAGATGTTTTATTCATTGGTATTGATCAGGAGTTTGTGGTGATCTATATGGTTATTGATTGATTGTCCAGCTGAGCCTCAGCTCCTCAACAGCCTGAATTATTCTGAAAGCTCAAACATTTCTGCTCTCTTCTCACATAAATCTAAAACTAGAAGTTTCCAAGTTCAAACTTTCTGTGAGTGATGTCGACCTTTGACCTCTAAGACGAGCGCCGGCTCCATCGTTCCCATCTTTCATCGTTTCTGTCGGCATAGCGATGAGCTTGAAGCGAACGCGGGGCGAACCCGAGGAGAAACCTGCCTGATGCGGACGTGACGGGAAGCTAACGAGAGCTAACTGCCTCTGAAGAAGAAGCCGTTCTAAAATAATGATGACATTAAGACTGTCGGAAAGGAAAATCAAGACAATTACCTGAAGCAGGCAGAAGGAAACGATCCCAGATCCTTGTTCACAGATGTCTCAGGAGTTCGTCTCACGATTTTACTGGAACCTGCCAGATTACACTCAGTCCTTCTGTCTTTTCTGCAACAGAAGAGGAAAACTAAATTCAACTTTTGGTTTGTTTAAATCACTTTTGTGCTGCTAACGGATACATACTGGATGCTCAATTCTGTTTTCTCCTGAAATCTGAGCTTTTTCTGCGTTGTCGCTCCTGCTACTGATTAAGTGCAGCTGGACTCAGACTGCGGTGTGAACGGTTTGCGACCCAAAGTGACCCAAGAAGAAGAACGTAGGTGTCCTCAAGGCGCCCGCCGTTTCCTGCAGTAAAATGGCCGCCGCCGTCTCTGGGTGGATTGTAAAGTTGCTGACAACATGGTCATCGGATGAAGGAAGCTGATAAACAGAAAGCTAACAGCAACTAAACAGTCTTTAGTGGAGCGTTGACCCGGTTCTGTTTGGAGTCGGACCAGGACTGATGGGGTTGGGTTGTGATGCGTTCACTGACCCAGGCTGCTTCCAACACGTCATTGTTATCATTTTCAGACATTGTTGACGTCCAGACTCTTCTTCTCCTGTAGAATTATGGCGCATGGCTGTTAGTGACGGAAAGTTGATCAAATGCGACACAAGCGTTCAGACGCTTTGAAAACTGATTTGATTTTGATTTTGGGTGAAAAATGAGAGTCGGGCCGTTCAGACTGCGCGAAGGAATCGCATTTTGGTGGCTTTCATTTGGCTGCTGACCTCGTAGCCTCAGTGATGCTTTTGGCATCAGGAATGCGTCGATATCGGCCAGAAAGTTTCAACTGAGTTTAGTGTTGTTTTCTACCCTACCATTTTGTTGCTGCTTGTGTTTCTAGAGGGCGGGGTTTCAAGCTTGGTCATGTGACAGTGATGCAGCAGAGCATTATGGGTGATTAGCTGTTCGCGGTGCACTGAGTCAGAAGGATAGAGAAGCGCATCTGATGTTGGTCTCTGCTCTGTTTTCCATTGTCAAGCATTTAGCTTTTAGTTTCTCCTTCTTGCCCCACAGCGGACGGCTCTGAGGCTCTGAGACTCTGAGGCTCTGAGGGTCTGAGACTCTGAGACTCTGAGGCTCTGAGGCTCTGAGGGTCTGAGACTCTGAGACTCTGAGGCTCTGAGACTCTGAGACTCTGAGGGTCTGAGACTCTGAGGGTCTGAGGTTCTGAGACTCTGAGGGTCTGAGGTTCTGAGACTCTGCGGGTCTGAGGCTCTGAGGGTCAGAGACTCTGAGGGTCTGAGGCTCTGCAGGTCTGAGACTCTGAGGCTCTGAGGGTCTGAGACTCTGAGGGTCTGAGACTCTGAGGCTCTGAGGGTCTGAGACTCTGAGGGTCTGAGACTCTGAGGCTCTGAGGGTCTGAGACTCTGAGGCTCTGAGGGTCTGAGACTCTGAGGGTCTGAGACTCTGGGCTCGGCTCGCTGTTCCTCGGTTTCCTGAAGTTTTTATTCTTCATTTAGTGATGTGTGAACAGGGTGACGCTCAGTCTGAATCGGTCTCTGGGACAGTCCAAATGTTTCCTTCAGGCAGATTGAATCTTATCTTCTTCTTTTTTTGCAGCACATGCGTACATTGCAGTCCCGTTTCCATGGTGTTGTCAAAACGTCGCGTATAATTACAAAATAGAGGGCGACAGAGAGTGGATTAGTTTCATTACTGAAACTGATTCTGGGACATTCTGAATCGCAGTGAAATCAGAATCACCATTCTTATGTGGAGCATTTTGAGCGAAGCTTCGCCGGTTCTTTGGTTCAGCGGCTCTCTGTGGATCCGGACTGGAAGCTGCTTGGTTCTGATCTGGTGTCGGGTCTGGACTTAGTGACATCATCGCTGGCGTCCTGCTGTAAGCCGACATGAGGAGTGATGTCATCAATGCTTGTTGTCACAAACATGATGGGATTTCTTCCTCTAGTGTTTGTGCCTCTGTGAAGCCTGAGAACACACACACACACACACACACACACACACACACACACACACACACACACACACACACACACACACACACACACACACACACACACACACACACACACAGAGTCCTCATTAGTAATGTATGGGGTGTCTGAGCCAGAAGTCATTTGTTTGTCTTTAAGCAGCTAAACTCTCTTTTATCCTTCTGATAATACATCGATTAGCATCTCAAAACCACACAGAAGCTTTTTAATCAAACCTAGAACACACACACACACACACACACACACACACACACACACACACACACACAGCATGGGCCGCGGGCCTCCTGTTGTGCAGCCTCAGTGTGATTACTGAAAACATGGTGTTAGGCAGCAGCTAATGAGCTGGAGCTGAGGACTCAATCCGCTTCATTTTCAACATTTAAAAAGTTCATTTAGTCCAGAATCAGTTCAGTTCAATTATCTAATAAAATATTAATAATCAATAGAACCACAGCAGAAATGAAATGGACATGGTTTATACAAACTGCTTCTCAGTGAAACGGCCCTAAAATCGATGTTAAAGGTGTTGGGATGAC